GAATTCCTCAACTTAATGGCTCGCAAGATGAAGGATACTGACTCAGAGGAGGAGCTGAAAGAGGCCTTCCGAGTATTTGACAAGGATCAGAATGGTTTCATCTCCGCTGCAGAACTCCGTCATGTCATGACTAACCTTGGTGAGAAGCTGACTGATGAGGAGGTTGATGAGATGATTCGGGAGGCTGACGTTGATGGTGATGGTCAGATCAACTATGACGAATTTGTTAAAGTCATGATGGCAAAGTGAATCCCACAAGATAAGATAAATGTTGGGAAAAAATCATTGCACACTAGTAGGAAAACCTTCTCTTATATATTCTCGTATCTCTTGTGGTGGTTGTGCCTTGTTAGACTGTCTTATCTTGTTTCTCTTGATTTGTCTCTTTATTCCAGAATTCTCAGGTCTCACTTGCATCTATATGAAGACCAATATGTACTGATTGTCTCCATCTCATCATATTCTAAACGATTCACCCTAAAAAGCATTGAAGATGTTCTGCTTTAATTTTTCATCTTTATTTATCAAACTGCTGCCTTGTGATGGTTGTTTTAGTCATAGCACTTAAAAATCTTTGCAATTAGATGGACTATCTTAAACCTCCATAGTTTCTTGTTAACTCTGCCAGCTACTGGAGGTAATGCTACAAAGACTGCAGCTTGCTTTTACCAGGTATTATGTATGCTTCATTATTTATGTTGGTGGATTCTATATGTCTGCTCATCTTGTCACATATCAATTGGTTTAACTGCTTTCTATTCCATCATTTGAAGCAGGGTCTGAAGTTCTAACCTGAAATTATGGTCCAGATGGGCATACCATTTCTGTGTTTTTTGAGCATGGACTGAGGAGCATAGCTAGGTTGCATTTGGTCAGTTCAATTTCGCTCATATGGTTCTGTTTCCTTTTCTAGTAATTGGATTCTCCTCCTCACTATAATGGTACCAAAAGTTCTCATAAATAGTCTGCAGAAACATAAGCAAATAATTAACCAGATAAAAGTTGAAGAACCGGAAAAATGTAATAGTGCTAAATGGGATTATAAGGAAAATAAAATGCTTAAATGGTCAATTAGAAGCACACCACTAACTGCTAATGTATGAATAACTACGGAGGCAGAATTAGAAAGTTACACAATGCAATTAATTCAATAAATAATTTTTAATTCCAAATTTTGCATAATGATGCATATCTGCATACATAAACATGTCACTTATAGTCTCATAAAAATCAGCCCAATGGTCTGTGTCCATGGCTTTGGAACTCTGAACGAGAGATGGAATGCTGTCAGCCCACCAACAAAAAGTATACCTTATGAGAACAAGTGGTGAGACTTGGCCTCTCATGGACTTCCAGACAGGATCATGATACTTGTTCCTTTCTCTAAGAATGTTTAGCCATGAGAAGGTGAAGACATGTATACAAAGCTGCTCAAAGAGAAGTCTCTTGTGTTTGAAAGACCCAAATACGACTGAACAATACAAGAATTCCAATAACTCTACAATTCCTTTATGTTTGGTGAAAACAAACTGGCAGATACAATCTTATCTTTGCCAGTTCAAAAGATATAGGAGCACTGTAACTTGGGCAGATGTTTGGCCAGGCATTTCAATGGGCCTGGTGAATTGTTCTTGGTTATTGAAGCATTCACTCCTGTATTTGGATTGATCGACTTGCATCAATGTTTGTTTCCCTTCATAGTGTTTTTAATTCAACAGAAGTCCCCTGGATAATGGAAAGATAGGAAACAGTTTGTTTCTGGAGCCCTTCGATCATGTTGCTTGCTGTATGGGAATTATCTTTTCTTACATGCTTTTGATGTCTCAGTTATCTTCACTACCTCTACCCAACTCAGGATGAAAAGTTACAGCAAGATTTTCAAGGATGATAGATACGAATTATCTGTGGCTCTGCTCTTCATTAATCAATGTCTGTTTCTGGAGATGGATGTATGAGCTGCTGCCTTTTGCATTTTTAGATGCTTTGGACTGCCCTCTATATCACTCAACTGGCATTTTCTTCCCAAGTGCTTATCAAAGTTCAAATTTTTGTTTGTAGATTTCTATATTTTCATACATGAGGAATGGTTGTTTCCTACCCATTTGATTTCTTGGATCTCAAGTCATCTGTCTCAAACTGCTTAGAATTCTGTTGATCATATTCGAACTATGCTAACTCATTTTAGATATGTTGTGGAAATTGATTTGGACACATTTGCAAATGCAATTTGAAGCCTGCTTTTGAGAAAATTTTCTTCTCGACTGACTATTTACTCATTTATTTGTTGCCTATATCAGTAGTGAGAAATTTTATATGACAATGACAATGTTTCTTTTTGACAAAAATGAAATTGCAGCTGGATCCTTCAAGCATTTCTTGTAAGCCAGAACTTGCTAACTTCTTACCATCCTTGGTTTTTGCCTGTGGTTGATCGAGATTTTTCCTTTTTCCACAAGGTAAACACCAGCCTAGATTGTCTGTTTCTTCTTCCACTATATTCTCTTGTCCTTGAACAAAGCAGTGCAGCTAATGCTTTTCCAAAGTATCACATTATTTTAACTATGGCTCTTCTGGAAGCAGCAATCTTTTCTTAACCTACAAGATGAGAGGACACCGAAAGCATGTGAGCACTTGCTTTTATTTCCAAAAAGAAGACACTGATAGGAAGTTGGTGACAATACCAAGGGACATCATAGTAAGAAGAGTGTGAGATGCAAGCCTGAGCTTTCTCTTTCCAACTGCTCTGGCATTATTCACTGAGATGCTTCTGCTTGGCATGAGTATGTCTGAGTTCTGGACAGCCTTATTTCTCACAACCAATTCAAACTTCCCTTCCTTCTTTTTCTCAAGTGAAAGTTCAGAAAAGTGGAAAGCGACCACCACTTAGCCAGCAACAATGCTTCCAGGACCAGAATTTGATGAGATTCCCTCCCTGACACTTGCAGCTTGGCACTGATGCTGATTAGGTTGGTGAGAAGGATGTGTGTTCGAACTGAAAAGCTAGTTGGTTGTTTCTGACATGCTCAAACAAGAGCAACTCAGCTTGCTGATCTGGATGGTAGTTGGATCGATGTCGTTGATCAACCGCCTATTTGGATTCATCCTTTCCAGGACACAATTCTTGTGCAAAGCTTTAATTGCAGACCGTGTATCTTTCCTGTGGGCATCAGTTGCTATCATCTTGACAATCATCTCTGTCTTTCTCTCATCCTTCCTGAATTATTGTGTTATTCATGAAAATGCCCAGAATTTGACTTGATCGTGTGGAACATTTTAGCTCAGTTAAAAGTTCTCATCCTTCCTGAGTTTAACTGTTTCTTTTATTTGGTGCAGTAATTACAGAGTTCATGGTGAGCAGAGGCAATAACTTGGAAGATGTGATGGTTTAACCTTGTCCATCTGCAAACAAGTAGTTTTAGATATGAAGCAAGGACACAGAAATCTCTGTGCTTTTGTTGTGGGTAAGCATAAACTACAAGCCTTCACTTTTCTTATTTCATCTACTTAGGCTCAGAGTTTTTTGGCTTTCAATTTGAAATCTTACAAAGTATGATGATCTCTTTAAATTTCTCTCAAGTCTTTTATGTACATTGAAAGGCAAAAAAAAAAAAGGTTTCCCAACTCCTAGGCAGCCTACTCATACAAGCTGCATGTTAGTAAATATTATCTCATGCATTGTAGGCCATCTACCTGATGCTTGGTAGTAATGCTAAACCACTTCAAGGCCTCAATTTCAGAACCAGCTACTTGATCTAACCCCCTTGGGTTTACTTAAATCTCCACAGAAATCAAAAGCTTATCTTGCATCATTGGATAGGTTAGATTTGAATTTGCTGTCTCTGGACAAGACCCAGATAGTCCCCAGGTGGCAAAGTCATTTGTCTAAACATGAGGAGCACCATTTCGACACATCTGTCCTACAGATTCACCAAGGGAGACTGGTGATCATTTTCAAAGGAGATTTAGCACATCTTATCCCTGTTATAATATGATCTCACAATTTAGACTTGTGTAGGTATACATACATCAATCATCCTTCAAAAGTTTGGTTCTAGCTAGCTAATCAGGGGGGGGTGGTGTACACAAGAATCTAACAATTGAGAGTTTGCATATCTGGAAAAAAGAGATGTATGCTAGAATCTTGATCAGGAAAATACAAGATGCTCAATATAAAATGCTCAGGGTTTTTCATGCACACAACAAACCCATGGATAAAGTTGCAGAGTTTTGTGTTTCCAGAATGGAGAGAATGAAAAGGAGCTGATAAATAATGTGCTGTTTATATTTGTAGAGTGGAGAATATTTATTACCATATATGAGGATGGATCTTGATACAATGTTAAGGTCCTCCATCACATTAAAGATCAAAATTGGAGGCAAAGAAATTGTGCCTCCAAGTATAGAAGAAAGGCCATGCATATTGATTCTTTTTCGGATTCTATTATTTTTTATTTTTATTATTTTTGATATATTATTTCTAATGATTGACATTGTAATCATATAGATTTTGCTATAGAAATGCAAGTCTAAAAACCGGAGAAATAATTTACCTTCACAAAATATTTATCATATTTTAAAATAATAAATAATTCAATTTGATAGTTCTCAACCTTATAATAATGTTGAACATAATGTTGCTAGAAATTATAGTATATAACTCTTTGGATTGTACAAGGATTATGTCTATTTAGGTTTTTATGATGAAATTTTTGTAGGATTATATATGTATTTTAAGGAGATTTTAGTGATGCGATATATAAAAAAATTCCAAAAGGTTATAATAGAAATTATAAATAATAATTTAAATATATTAATTTAACCAAAACTATTATTCTATATAGAGCTTAATGATAAAAATATTATCTCATGCGATTTAAGGATAGTGAAATTAAAGATATATATCGATTCGTTACAGCGTGACATAACACTCCGCGTTATCGATTCGATGGGACAGCAGCGGCTCAAAATATCTTACCAGGTTCGGTGCGCCGTTACGCTCGGTCGTCGCGCCGTTAACTTGTCTTCGTCATGTTCCGTATCCTCTGGTATAACGAAAACCTGCGGCCCGGTGAACCCAGAGAGATCCATAAATGTCGAGCACTTCCTCCTCCCCAGAGCCCTACTCCGTTCATCGAAATCCCGTAATCGATCCCTAGATTCGCCTCGTGTTGCTTCTGCTACTCTCCGAGATCTGCCTTCTCGCGGATCAGGTTGAGATTTTGGCTTCGTTCGAGTCAGTCGAAGCTCGGCGAAGCTGCGTGGTTTCGGATCCTTAGGGAAGTGGTTTTGCGGACAAAGATTGGACTTTCCTGGGAGTTGGGAGCCTCCGAGGTTGCAGCCGTCGGCGATTTTGAGGTAATTTCTGTTGCACTTTAAGCCATGTTTCTTTTGTCTGCTCTTCTTGGATTTCGAGCTTGTGGCCAATCGTCTGTCTAATGTTGGGTCTATTCGGTTCAAAAAGATTTGAACTCGTCATCAAGGAATGATGCGAGTTTGTTTTCTGGAGCTATGTTTTCCTTCCAAAACTCCTGATTTCGAGGTTCGGCGTCCGAGGTTGAAATTTTCCGTTGGTCACCGTTCTTGAGAAGGGCTTCCTTTTAACCTGCTAGTGTTGAGAAAAAAAGGTTCTTTTTTGGGCGTTGAAATCGATCACAATTATGGGATTCTTATCTTTTGTTATGCAGATCATTAGATCGGTGCATTCCTTCCTTTGTCCCGGTGGAAAAAAGATCTCAGCTTGCTTTCATCGTCAATGTAACCATGACATTTGAGTTGAACAGGAGGAAATCCATCGGAGGGTCTTTGTTCGCGAGCGTCCAAAGAGAGTGCTTGATTGCCCAACAAGGGAACATGCAGTCCAAATCCCGAATCCATGCAGACCCCTCCCTCTACCAGGACCACTTCGATCAAATTCCAGACTCCCTTGTACTCCTCATCTTCAACAAGGTCGCCGATATCCGGTCCCTCGGCCGCTGCTTGGCCGTGTCAAAACGCTTCAACATCCTGGCCCCCCAGGTTCACGACGTGTATGTTAGGATCGGCCGAGTCGTGCCGGTGGATGGTGACGCGGAGGAGGCGTTGACCCTGTCTTCCCCTAAACCTCGAAACCTCCTTGCCCATCTCTTGAAGCTCATGCTGTTCGCTATTCTCAAGCCCTTTCAACACCTCCAGAACTTTAGTGCCGGGCATAAGCCTCTTTTGCCGCATCTCTCCCATCACTCCCCTGCGCAAGTCCTCAAGAAGTTCACCCATGTCCGCAACCTCAGGATCGAGCTCCCTGCTGGCGACGTCGGAACGGAAGATGGCGTCTTCTTGAAGTGGAGAGCGGAGTTCGGAAGCACCCTTCAGAACTGTGTGATATTGGGTGGGACCAAGATGGATCGCAGGCCTTCTTCAGCCAATCTGGAGGGGTCAGTGGAAGACACTGGGAGCATACCGGAGCCGTTCTATACGAATGGAGGTCTGAAGTTGCGGGTTGTTTGGACTATCAGCTCCTTGATTGCTGCTTCCACATGGCACTATCTTGTCCGACAGATAATTAGGGATCACCCCACGTTGAGAAGTGTGGTCTTGACGGACGCCGATGGCCAGGGAACATTGACCATGGGAGCGGATCAGCTGAAAGAGTTCAGAGAGAAGCCATTGGCAGCCTCTGCATCATCAAATAGGACTCAGGTGCCTGCATCAAACATGAAGCTGAGATACACTCCATACTTGGAGCTGCCCGAGGGAATGGCATTGCAGGGAGCCACGCTGGTGGCTATCAAGCCCGCAGAAGAGGGCACCAGCAGCGGCAATTGTAGCAGGAAGGACGCTGAGGCATTTGTTTGTGGGGCATTTGACGGGCCATTTCAGGCTGCAGCGAAGGCACTACTGAAGAGACGAACTTATCTCTTGGAGATGAATGGTTTTTGAATCAATTCGGCCTCTTGCCTTCGTTCTCTTCCTATGGCTCGCGGTGGTTCGTTTTGTTTGTTTATGTGGAACCAGTTGCAGAGTGCCATTTCCTCAGGAACAGAGGCATCAGCATTTGCAGTAGCCATCCAATTTTCCTCCATTCCTGCATTCCTGTACAGTAAGAATGTTTTGATTTACTGATCTACATGTTATAGTGCATAAAATGGAGTACCAGTCATGAATTCTCATCTCAACGCTGAGCATGTTGTGTTTTGGGCTATACTAATGTGTTGCCCCCACAAAGTTTCAGTATCAGTTGTGTACTATAGAGTGAGAGTATGACTTATCACCCACCTCTGCATAATATCTAAGGCTCTTTTAACTGCTCCTGTTTCTTGTCATATAATTTCAAACCTCACTGTGACATCTCAAGGGAAAAACACACTCGAAGAAGAACACTACTACCAATACTTGTTTTCATTGTATATTTTCTTTCTGTTTTATCTTGGAATGGCACATATCATTGTGAAACAATCTCTCAGCTCTTTTGTACATCTACCTTCTACTAAGAAATTTTAACAGCTTCAGCTTGATGTGCTTTTGTTTTGTTAGAGCTAAATATTGTTCTTCCTGCTCCATCTGCTTGATCTGTGATATCTACTATTCCTCTTGTGTCTTAGGTGCTTGCTCTGTTCTTGTCATCAATGCATTTCAATCTCTCTATTCCTAACCTGGTAAATATGCACCTTAGAACAGACATGTTTTGTTTTCTTCCTTCATTTCACTTGAAATTTTCTTCTTCTTCTTCTTTTGTTCTTATTTCAACATCATGGGTTTGTAGGCTCATTCCAAGCAGCTTCCCACCTCACTCTGCACCAGATCTAAAATCTTGTAGATGAGCATATAATCTGTTGTGGCTTTTGTTTTCAGAGTTTGACAACCTAAACAATCTGTGGACAGCAAAAACATGGTTTGGTTACAACAATGTGACTTGTTAGATGCTTCTTGGTGAAAGGACTAGGAATATTACTATACTATGTGCATTAAATACATAATGAAATCAATATTATGTAGCATTTGGTAAGATGTAGCCCTGGATGCCACAAAGACACTGTACAGAGTTGACTTACTAACAATTGTACTACTTTTTTTATGAGTGCAGATACAGGTTTCAAGCTTCTACTTGCAGTCAGGTGCTGACTATATGTGAGGATGACATGGTAACAATATAATAGTACAGTTGTTTGCAACTGCTACTGCACTGATGTGCATAATGATCTCACATGACTCCCATTCACCCAGGCCTCAATTCACTAATGCATGACAATGTCTGAGCTTTTGTGGTCACTCTGGTCTGCTTCACAGAGAGAGAGAGAGAGAGAGAGAGAGAGAGAGAGAGAGAGAGAGATGGTGTGAAGAAAGTCCACATCAGTGAATCAATAAGATGGTCTTATGAATAGTGATTGACCAGAGTAAAGCTAAGATGGCATGAACTTGATTCAATTAGCCTGCAGTTAAATATTTGTGGATATAAACTTAATTATGTCCACTTAAATTGTCATCTCAAAATGAATCTGAGTTAGGTTGACCAAATAAATCCATATGGAGAATTTGAGGCTTGTGCATGATCACAAGAAGCCATCATATACTCCAACTCAATTAGCTCTCATACTCTGACAATGTTATTAGAAGATGGCATGATCAATGTTAATCAAGCCCCAATTCTTTTGTTTAATCCTTCATAAGTATTTCAATTAAATTATATCGAGACTTGCTAAAAAAAAAATTGTTGCAGGATGTAAATGTGAATGTATAGAGTTCAATTGTAAGGAGAGAGAGTGATAAAATGATTAAAAATAAATTAAAAAAGAATTAAAATACTCTTAATTTAACTAAAGTTATGTCTTAGCTCAATAAAATAGTTGAGTTATCATATCATGATGATCTCTCCCTCCTCTATCACCATGAGAGAAGAGAGAGGAGCATTAGGATAACATGCAGACAGAAGTAGCAGCTTAAAGAGGCTGCAGTTGTAATGACATATCTAAGCTAAATGTAATGCCACTCTTAACAATAACTTGAAAAATGAGATCACCATAAATATGTAAAAAAAAATCACACCTTATTTTCATGTTAATATTTCTTTTGGTCATCAATTTCATATCGGATTATTCTTGATTCGAACTTTTCGATGCTTAATTTAGGTTTTAGTTGTGATTTGAGAGATTCAATGGTATGTTTATCTAATAGTAGAGTCCAAAGATTGTGAATACTTTCAAAGAGACATTATTTGTTATTAATATGCCAATAACATTTTTCTCCATAATATTTATTTAGCATTTGATGCTGCAAAAGATGATCCACGGGGAAGCCGTTAATTCAAGGTTATCAAACTCGCGATCTGGGCCGTAGGTTCGTGCGATCATACGGCCCAGATCAAGCCTGACGAGTCGGCTGCGCCTTTCACACGTGGGTCTCGTGGCATCGGGTCCTCTTGCGAGTCGACTCGGTGCAAACGATCGCCTCGTCCGAGTCGACTCATCGGGCTCCTATAAAAGACCACAAGCCGACGCACCGTGCACGGGACGAGCGACGAGCGATCCCTAGCGTTTCAGCTGCCGCCGACGCTGGCCGAGTCGCTTCCGTTGGACAACTGTCGGTACTATTTTTCTTCTCTCCTCTCTTCCGTCTCCTCCCCCTGTCTTCTCCTTTCGTCTCTTCTCCTACCTTGGAGGTCTGATTGATCGTAAGGTCTCCTCCCCTCTCTTCACCTTCGCTCGCCTGTGTTTTCCTCTCTGCCCCTCTCCTGTTTCATCCACGGACCTCCTCTCTTCTCCTCCCGCTTTCTCCCCTCTCATATGCCCTCCTCTCTTCCCCTCTTTTGTTCTGCCCTCTCCTCCCCTCTCTAAAACTTGCTTAGGTCTCCGTTGCTCAGATATTCGGATTTAAGGGGAAAAGGTTATACTTATACATGATGAACTCAGCAATTCTCTGCATTCACATGCTCAAATCTTGCGGAACCATGCAGCTTTAGAGTTGACGTTCACCGAGAGAATTACTTTCCTCCCTCTGGCCTCTCTGTCCCGTCCGTCCCTCATTGTATGAGTTGGTTCATTCAATTGCATTGTGTTTTAGTTCAACAATTTGGAAATCTTCTATTGTTATACTCTTGGAAGCTAGATTTATCTGATATCATTATTGGACTTTTCTATCCTGCCTAAACACGGGTTAAAGGTCTAAGTTGTTCTGTCTTCAACAACTCAACCGCAAAACTTGAATCCTATTATAATCGAAGGTCTTTAACACTTTAGAAATGGTACTGTTTGTTGTGTACTCCAGCTGTTTGACAAAATTCCTGACTTACAATGTAACTATCAAATGTCTGATTGCAATAGTTTGTTCTTTCAAGCAAATTTGTTAGTTTTGGTTTTGTGCATCTAAGTTAACACTCCCGTGTTATGCCGTCAGATGGCACTGGAAACAGGACATGATTTGTTAACTGAACTGAGATTCATGGAGCTTGCCTTGGAGCAGGTATCTTGAACTTTAAATTAATCTTGAGAAGTTATAGCTTTACGTGCTGATTATATTAAAATTTCTTGTTGTCAGGCACTCTACATTTCTCCTTCTACCTCTTGCATTAATTTCTGTGTTATATATCTTGGTGTTACGTTTTGACTGTCATCTTTGCATTTATAACTCAAAGTGCAACCTGGAATAAGTGTTTTCTTGTTAGGCTTGAAAGTCAAGTCCATTATCCATATACTCTTGTTTTGTGAATTATCTTCTGCTGTGCTTTATGTTTTGACTTTCTTGTTAGTTTGCCGTTACTATTATAATCTGAAACTGGAAAGGATTATCATTCTCCTGTATTTCTCCCTTTCCTAACAAATATTGAATGTTAAATCACATAATGCTTTTAAAAATAAAGATGTATGATTGAGAAATTGTTATGTTTTGTGCTTATAATTTTTTTCTACACAGAAGTTGACGGAAGTTCACATTAGAACAGATCTGAAGTGTATTGATTATATTTATCTTCAAAGTATAGTCTTAAGGTCTATGATAACTAAATTCTGATGCTAACTTGGATGGATATATCTTCATTGAACTTACTATAGGTTTAACTATTGGATCAGGCACATGTCATAGAGATTGTGTTTGTGGATACTTGTATTAGAACTAAACTTGCTTGGTTTTGATGGTTATGGCCTATGTGTTATAGTGTTTTGACATGCTGATCTCATGAATGTGGTCATGAACCACTGGGTACAGATAATTTTTCTTGGCACATGGACCTTTAAATTATCTTTTCCTTGTATCTTTCACACTTTTCTTAAATAGGGTTCTTGGTGCTTGTCTCAACACAACCATGAACACAAACCATTGACGCTCCTATATGGGAACTTCAGAACCATAATACTTTACCAGCCATGATCAATTCGTGCTATGTACATTAGTATGGTTTAGTGTCATAGAACCTAAAATTATTTGGTGTTTGCTCAAATATTTTATATATTATGTTTTTGAAAAATGGAGACTGATTTCTGTTCCGTTTTGTGCTTATTTTCTTCTTATATCTGTCAGGCCAGGTTTGCTCTCGAAAACCTAGAAGTTCCAGTTGGGTAAGTTTATATTCCTCTTTCAAGATATTTTATTTAATAATTTTTTTCCAATTTTTTTTTAAAAGAATGGTGGAGGATCTTGTTATAATGCATTTGGAGCTTACATAACATAATCCTTCTTTCTTTGTAATGACCATTTCCTGTCTTTTCAGGTTGTATTAGTCACTTGGTTGAATGTTGTGCACTGATTCTTACTATTATCTACTTGAAAACATTTTACAAGTTCTTGTTAATAATATAATTTGGTGCAAAATAGAATGATATTTTGTCACATAAGAGATCATGAACCTATCACATGCACTAAATTGTTTCTGGAATTAGAGATACAGATGGACATCATGCGTCTGTCTCATTAAAAGTTTTAGAGTATATTAATGAGGATTCAAATTCTGACACTGTGTGTATGATTATTTTAATTGATTCCATCCTATCATTGAACATCTTTTCTTGAATTACTAGATGTGTTATAGTGGAGGATGGAAAAGTCATAGCCTCGGGTAGCAACCGTACCTCAGCAACACGAAATGTATGTATGCAATTAGTTGATTTCTATTATGATCTTTATGTATAGCAACCTTTTTTTTTCTTTTTGTCATTGAGTCGACCAACAATGGGTTCTCTGTACTCCTAAAAACTAAAAAAAATCAATTATTTATTGGAAATTTAACTCTGATGTAGATTTATGTTCCATCCGAGTTTTAGGTTCAATATGTGCACAATTGTTGCAGAACATAAATGTGTTTCTGGATAATTTTTATGAACTTTTAAGTGTTTGTCGAACCATCAGCACAGGTGCATACAATATGTCAATGTAAGTCATGGGCTGAAAGTTAAAATCAGTCAAAATAGTATGTACTCTCAGTATATTCCTCACATTGAAAACCTTCTATTACAAAGTTTTGATATATGAATGACATTAATTGATTATATGATTCACTCACCATCTTACCATCATTAACATATGTAATTAACTAATGGTATCGATTCTACAGGATATGTAATATATGACATATAAGTTCACTCTTGTTGAACTCGAATAGTATCAATAGCAAAAGGAATTATATTATGTTAGTATACAAGAATATAAAGTGGTCTTTTCATAACACCAGAATTTATTTGATGGAAAAGCTGTGTGCAATTATTAAAAGCGAATTCTTTTAACCAATGGTCCTGGTAATATTTTTCTTTTACATTGTCAATATACTCACCCTTCTCTTAGCTCTCTTGAAATGGAAAGGATCCAGCAGAGTGTGATCTGTCAACACTCTGCTTCTCTACTCATGTATCCTCACTGTTATTAGTTGTCTTTCTGGGAAAAGCCCAGCAATTTTTGTTCTTTTTTCCTTGATTGTCTACCACAGTGTGCTGTTGTGCATCTGAGAAAGCTTACTTATAACTTGCCTAACTTATTATTGTGGAAGACTGTAGTTCTTATATGTATCTGAGAAATTACTTCCTGTGATCTTAGGAAGGGTAATGTGAATGTTATCACCATCATATGTTCAGGCTACTAGACATGCAGAAATGGAAGCTATTGATACGTTACTTGAGGAGTGGCAAAAGATTGGTCTTGGTCAATCAGAAGTTGCAGAGAAATTTTCAAGATGTGATCTATATGTTACATGTGAACCATGCATAATGTGTGCAACGGCTTTGTCCATTCTTGGTTTGCTCATTCTACCTTCTTCAGCTTGATATTCTTCCATTCACATCTTAGTTTGTCATTACTCTTGATACTCCTTTTTTAGGAATAGGAAAAGTATTTTACGGTTGTTCCAATGATAAATTTGGAGGTTGTGGATCTGTCTTATCCCTACATGAAAGTGCTTCTGAAAAATTGTCCAGGTTTACTTCTAAACTGTCATCACTTCTTATTTTTGGTCTTTTTCTTTTAATGAAAAATTAATATTGTTTTTCTGAGTTCCATAATACTTGTTTATATTTTCGTTGTCTAGGAAAATAATAGCATGAAATATTTTCTTTGTTTTTTTATGGTTGAGCTTAAGGTCATAGAAATTTAGCACCTTCCAGAGGCAGGTTAATTTACCCCATGGATCTTGAATTTGCTTGAGGACCGCTTGAATGAATCGAGGATGGTAGCTGGATTAGCCTTCTGACTTGCAAACATGCTTTATATGACATTTTTTTCATTTTTATACTTTATTGTCAATTTCATGTTGAATAATAAATCTTCTGAAGCTGCTGTCTGTTCTTTGTATTTGTTTCTTCTATCCAAATTGCTTGGAGTTTTTATTGGATGTAAACAACATTGTTCTTCTTATTTGTAAGTTTCTTATATCCAAGCTGCTGGAGTTTCTCTTGGATGTCCTGTTCTTACCAGTAAATAAAATTTAAAGAGCTTTGAACTTGTATACTTCAGGTTATAAATTATAGCTTCTTCTGGATACCAGTGAAGCTAATTGAGCATGTGTGTGTGCCCCCTCAACTGTCCTCTTCATGTACTTTGATCAGCCACCTTAAGGAAACTACATAGAATAGAATATCTCCCAGTGAATGTTCCATTCTTGTTGCTTTCTCTCGATGAAAGATTTTACTGCTTTGTTAAATTATAACTGTTATTGGTTGTTCTGTGGCAGAGGTGATTTACAAGCAAAGAGTTTCAAATGTACTGGAGGTCTAATGTCAGAAGAAGCTGTTGCACTTTTCCGAAATTTCTATGAACAAGGAAATCCCAATGGTACTTCTTACCGACATAGTCGTTTCATTTATTGATTAACTTCATCTTTTCTGATTTGTCTTTTATTATCAATATATTCACTCTGAGACCCTTAATTATTTTGATGACCTACTTCCATAATTACCAATTCATTAATCAAATTAATGTGGACCTCGTCTCACATTGAAATTCTGGATATGCTCCTGTAAACTTTATAAAACTCATATTGAACATGGTGTCGCAAGGACAACATATTATCTCTCTTGATAATTTTCACTTTGCTATACTAAATAATCACCACATTCAGAGAGCAGCCTCTGAAGGCAAAGGATTTCCCATTTGACTTTACCATTCTGGATCAAAAATGAAACTTCTCATTTCAAGGTTCCTATGGTTGGTGTTACTTTGCCTGACAATTGGTTTCTTTGGTCTTTGGCTTTATGATTGTGTTTCAAAAATTATTCATCACTCTTTATTTTCTTATGGTGAAGGCCTTAGTTTGATTAGCCAGTTTGATTGATTTGACGAGTTGTACTCATGTAGCCCATGTTTTGCTGGAACATCATGATTGCAATACAGTAGCAAGGCTGTCAATGCTTGAATGTTGAAAGTTTGAAACATCTTCACTTTATAAACTCGCCTAAGATTTGTATTCTCACATCAATTTTAGATCAGCATAGTATTCTCACATCAATTTAAGATTTGTACTCTTTTTTTTCAACCAGTTATAATCTTCTGGTTCATTTCCATCTCCTTATATTTTTTTGTACTTATTTTATGGAGGAAAACCTCCTGAAAGTCAACTTCCCGGAAGATGGTACATCACCTCATGATCTATCATGCTTCATCCATAATTTGATGTTGTTTCTCCTTTCAATTGCTAAGTTTCATGCTTCAGGTCTTTCTCCTTACAATGCCTCATGTTTGTTCTGAACGTTCTCTTGTGAGAATGCCACCTATCCCGAGTTCCATCATCTATCAAAATCTTTATCCATGTTCTCCAACATGATACTTTGCCATGTTAACCTGCATGGTAGAACAAAATTTGCATCTTAAACCAGTTTTTTGTTCTTTTGTAAGACCCATATTCACCTTAACATCATCTGCAGGTGACATGAACAGGATGGTGTAAGAATGGATTTGATGCTTATCCAGTGAAGCACGATGACTTGCAAATTAATATTTTGACCTCAGTTCACCAACTTTTATTAGCATACTTGAAGTAGAAACCAATTTGTGAGTCACGACCTATGTAATGAACTAATCCATGTGTATGCAACTTTGAGATTTTCATGATGACCTACACAAATAACATGACAGATTTCCAACCCAAACAGCAAATAAATGAGAGAGGATTGTTATGTTGGTAGATCCGAGTATGTGGTCCGCTACTTCCTTCTAGTTATCATTGTGAATCGACTTTTCAAAGACCACATTGTTTGGTCTTGTTCCTTTTTTAATCTAAACTAACCTTTTTCCTTTAAATTAAATTGTTTTACAGCAATATAATGTTGTCAAAATTTTATCATGTGTATTGCAGCTCCAAAGCCTCACCGACCTGTCCGAATGCCTCAATCAACAGAATAAAGTTGACTTTCTTATTCATTGATGCCGCATTTCCCGAACTCCATGTATCTGGTACAGCTTCTTGTATGTTGAAAAGCTTTTGAGAGAGACATTGGGGATCATAAGCGTGATACATTCCACACGAGGACAGCTGAATGCACCAAGACAATCATCCTTATCAGTTGATGATTGCCTTAAGCTTAAGCTGTTACCCTCGTGCTTTTCTTACAAGGAACATAGTCAATTAAAATTTAGAGTCGAACGACCCAAATCATGTAACTTAAGTTTTTAACTGTATGTTTTCAGAGAAAGTTAATATTAATTGTCTCATAAGCAGCATTATCTGACTGATTTTATACAGGTGAAATTTGTTTTGCTTGCATTATTATTGTGAAAGAACTGAAGTATTTCAAATTAAAAGTATAATTTCTGTGCATAATGAGTTCTACAAATTGAATCTTATGCATTATTCTCAGGTGACTTGCTCTATCAGATAGGTATGTCAATACCGACTCTCATTGTTGTTGTTTTTACTCTCCAATGTAAATACCATCATTGCAGGTCATTACATATGATTTAAGCTGCTTTAGTTGCTCTCTAATGTAAATACTTATCATTGCAGGTCATTTACATATGATTTAAGCTGCTTTTAGTCTCTCGCTGGAGTCTATGCATTGAAAGGTTCTATTCAGGGGACCTGGACATGGAAATGCATCCTTGAAGAGTTTATGATTTGTACAGCCTGGTAAAGAACACTTCCATGCCTTCTCTTTGAGCCCTATGTATGCCTGCAATTCACAGGAAAACTAGCAAGCAGAAACTTCGATCACTCCTTGATGCTAAAAAGGCAATGCTTCATTCACAATGAAGCCCATCCTGAAGCCAAGACCACAAGACTTGCCATGAAACTTATTGAGAGCTCAAACAACACAAAATACAAGCATCTGTACCACAAAATAAAGATCAGAAAGGAACTGATCTCGTTCGGCGGAGCTGGTATTTTGTTTCTGGTTGTGGTTCATGAATTGCTGATTCCAATTCCTGCAAATAAAACAAAGGTAAATATAACCCTTCACCAGCAAATATGTATATATGTTAGTTCATGAAGTATAATGGTGGTATAAGCTTTTTTTATTAAAGTTGAATCAAATCCTTTTGAAATTAAGATTTTTCTTAATCTTTTGTCTTACCTTCTGCTTCTTCAACCTCTCATTCTCTTCTTGTAGGAGGGAGATCTTGTTCTCCAGCTCATTCGTGTAAGCCTGTGTAAAGAGTGAAGCAACCTTAAAACGGAGAAGAGGAAGCCAACACCCTGCCTTCGCTGTAGATGACTCCACGGTGGGGAAGTAGAGTGACCCACCTGCTTCCTTGCTCGCGACCGTGCCGCTGACTCCCGGTTCTTGATCAGCCTCTTGTGCCTCCTTTCCGCGGTCTTCTCCGAGACTTCTCCTCCTGCCGCCCTCTTCCGCCCTGGCGTCTGCGGATCGGACGTCGCTGGGTTGTCACTGGCCAACGCTGAAGCTTGCAGCTGTTGATGATGGTGATCACAATGGCGATGCTGCAACCAGTGCTCGCGAGGCATGAAGGCAATACAAGAGTCTTCAGCTCCCACCTCGGCATTCACCAGGAAGTCTTCTAGGATCATCTCACCCAGCGCAGGCTGCTGCTCTCTGCTCTCCTTCCTCCTCCGTTGTCGGATGTCCCTCCACACCTCGTCCGCCGTCGTCCTGTTCACTGCATGAGGCGCCGGAATGCTTCCCTCGCAGCCGCAGCCGCAGCCTCTGTCGGTTTCCATCATTGCCCGGTTCATAGGCCCACCCTGGCGGCTTTGGAGCTCACCAATCTCCCTCGGTCGCCACCGCCCTCAGTTGCCCTCGGCCCGAACCTCATTCATCAACTTCTTTTGCTCTCAGCGCTCGACCAAATCCACCAAAGATTGCACGCAAGACTCGACACCCCTCCGACGATCTGCAAGACCAAAACAAAACATCCAATGAAGAGGAACTAATCAAATCCAAGATTGTAATCAGCCAGAGGAACACAGAAGACATCTGAACTGGTCTTCTGCAGGAGTTCTCCCACCTGAATTCTCAATTCTACACCAAGGAGCTCTCTCTCCTACATAAGGTCAGTGGACATATGTTGCGCTCATGGTGATGTCTCTCTCTCTCTCTCACTGTTCCCACTAAAATACCATGTTCCAAAGATTTCCTTCGATGACAGCCTCAGCTTTAATCTAATGAGAGAAAGGACAGCCAAGCATTCGAGATCACATGTGTGCATCATCTAACGACAGAGTCTCCCACCATCTTCCAGCTTTTATGGACTCCTCGTCCTTGAGCCGTGAGGAGATGCCATTGCTCAGTGCAAGGACACGTCCAAGAACCGCTCATCTTTATTCCAGTGGAGCAGCAACTAGACCATGAACCTCCCTCGTCATTGGTTGGTTCCGCCCTTTTATCTCCCGTCCTCTTCCTCAAAGTACAGTGCTCCCGGTGCAGAAAGGACAATGGATCTGAAACCCACCTCTCGAACGCCGGTTTTCTAATGCTAGGGGATGACCTTGATCTGAGAAAGGTCAAGTTCAAGGTCAAGCATGCGAGTTCCCATGAACGCAGGTACGGCCTTCATCTGCCTTGGTAATCGCCTGCACAATTAGCTTAAATGACAGGTGGAGCCTGTCCTTGCATCGGAGAGCACTTCTCTGAGCTGCAACGCCACAAAGGCCTAAATCAGCAGACACCGGAGGACAAGGCCATCGAAGTAGGCGACGAGCAGATTAAAATGGTCTCCCTTCACTAAGACGTACCCCGAGATGATGGCGACGAGAGCAACATCGGAGTGGCCTGTTTTGGCATATGCAAGGTTAGCCCAAGCCAGATGATGAAGGAGAAGATGAAAAGGTCACCAGACCAGAGTGCTTGTGTCGAAGACATCCGCTCGTCGTCATCATGCGTCGAACAATTCCATCCAATGACCGATAGAGAAGTTCGATCGATGACTGAGGAGATGGTTGAAGGAGCTTACACCATCAAAGCGACTGAAGAACCTGTCTTAGCTTCATAATCTGTGAGTTCCATTTACTGCTGTCCATTTTGAATGCACAAGAACATGCGTCAATGAATTAACATTTCCATAAATGTCATAAATTGAGACAACATCAGAATAGAAACAAAAAAAAAAAAGAATTGCAAGCAATTTTTAAATTGGAACAATATTGCTGTTTCTTTATGTTAATTTCAAGTCCATTTTTCTGTTTTTTTGTGTTCCTGAGAGAGAGAGAGAGTCGATGGGCCACAAATTATGATGGTTATGAATGTTAGGATTTCAACAAATAATGGTCAACCTTTGACCATTGTCTTAAATACAAGTCAACGCAACAGCGAACACACTATTATAACTAAATGGGACTGCGATATGAATGAGCGGGACTTCGTCAGCTGTTGGGCCGAACCGTATCCACGCAAAGGCCGGTTCGACAGCCCCCCTAATTAGACAGGAGTTGAGCCAAGTAATGATCGAATTCTGGCCGTTCGATGAACTCTGTTCCGAACCACACTACCCTGCGCCACGTGACGATGTTCACCTTTATCCATTATATTATATTGTCGTGTTGCCGCGCCAAACCCTAACCCTAGAAGGCTTGCCGTCGTCGACTCTGCCGCCATGGCCAAGAAGCGAAAGCTCACGCCTTCCTCTGCCGTCAAAGCGCCCGCGCCCGTCGTAGAACCCAAGGAGGAGCCCGTCCAAGAAGAGTCCGGCCCGGATGTCGCGATCGATGAGTCCCAGGAGGAACAAACCCCGACCGGAGCCGATGCGAACCCTCCGGTCCATGAGAACGCCCAATCCGACGCGGCCTCTGAAGACCTTGGTGGCGCCTCCGCCGGGGGCGTCGGTGTCGGCAACGACGCGGAGGATGTGGTGGAGAACGATCCGACCTCGATCCAGAAGCTCCTCGAGCCATTCCCCAGGGACCACCTGGTCGAGCTCCTTCGCGACGCCGCTGTGAGGCACCCGGACGTGCTGGCGGAGATCCACCGCATCGCCGACCTGGACCCTGCCCACCGCAAGATTTTCGTCCATGGCCTCGGTTGGGACACCAACGCAGAGACGCTCACCGCCGCCTTTCGCCAATATGGCGAGATCGAGGACTGCAACGCGGTCATGGACAAGGCGACCGGCAAGTCCAAGGGTTATGGCTTCATCCTCTTTAAGCACCGTGCCGGCGCCCGCCGCGCCCTCGAGCAGCCTCAGAAGAAGATCGGCAACCGCGTGACCGCGTGCCAGCTCGCGTCCGCTGGTCCTGTGCCACCACCGGCACCGCCGGTGTCGGAGTACACCCAGAGGAAGATTTTTGTCAGCAACGTTGGGGCGGAGATCGATCCCCAGAAGCTGTTACAGTTCTTTGCCAAGTTTGGGGAGATCGAGGAGGGGCCACTAGGGTTGGATAAGCTGACCGGGAAGCCCAAGGGGTTTGCTTTATTTGTTTACAAGACGATTGAGAGTGCAAAGAAAGCATTGGAGGAGCCCCACAAGAATTTCGATGGTCACATTCTGCATTGCCAGAAGGCAATCGATGGACCGAAGCCAAACAAGCTGGGGTTCCAGTTTCAGGCTACAGCGGCTCACCATGGTAGCTTGCATCAGGTTGCTGGTGGACTGCTTGGTTCACACTTTTCGAGGACTGACAAGCCCGGGTATTTGGGAGGTGTCGGGAGTCATCTGTCTAGTGCCTCAGGTGCTGGGCACCTGATGGCCCCTTCAGCGAGTGGATTGGGTTTCAACCAGGCTTCTCAACCAGCTGCTGCTGCAGTGGCTGCAGCAGCAGGGTTGAATCCTGCATTGGGGCAGGCTCTGACTGCATTCCTTGCGACTCAAGGAGCTGGTTTGGGCTTGACGAACCTTGTGGCAGGATCAGTCGTGAACCAGGGAGTTCCTGGATCATTGGCAAACAGCTCGGGGCATGGATTGAACAGTGGTTATGGTGGTGGCCTTGGGGGAAACATTAATACGGGGGTGATCGGAGGATATGGCTCACAGGCACATACGCAGGGTGGATATGGGAATGCTTCGATTGGACAGGGAGGCTCTGGAAGGAACCAAACAGGATTTGGGCAAATGGGTGGCCTAGGCCCTTACCTGGGTCGTTAGTTAAGTGCAGGTATAATGTTTAGCTAACTCCAATTTTTGACAATTCCATCTCATTTACTTGAATCACAGTTAGAAGCAATTTTAGATGTCTTACCGTTATGATTTTTTTATCATCCGCTACATTTCTTTCAATTTTTTTAAACATCAATATACATATACATAATGATATAGTGTAAAAAGTCCAGAAGAGTTGTCCTATCTATCTATTTGCTGCTGTTTCTCGTCATGGCTATCTTCTACTTCAATAGGAAGTTCTTTCCCGATTGGTCAAGATAATTTTATTTTTAGGATTGGTCTACGAACTAATTCGTGGTCGTATAGGAACGAACTATGTGTCTAGACGTTTATAAAGGTGGCAATATGACCTTTATTAATCAGTATCAGTATTGGCTGATGACGATACAATCACGTCGGTTGTAAAAAAATTTTGAACTGAGAATTGATAGATATTAATCATTATAAAATTATAAAAAAGATAAAAATATCTACATAAAGCTATAGAGAATATTTTAGATCTTGTTATGACTACTATTTATATGTATTGTTGCATGTAACCTTATATTTTCAATCATGTAATATATTGAAAATGTTATTTGGAAAAAAATAAAAAAATCAGGAGAATTAAATAATTAAGCTATAAAAGGTTGATTACTCTGTCAAGGAAGCACCAGAAAGGAGGTCTTTTAAGTAAAAAGTGTTCTCTGTGAAAATTTCCATGCAAGAATACACACCATCGTTCTCTATATATCCTGCATTGGTTCTCTTTTCCCCTCTCTTCATTTCCATTTCCTCTGAAAACAGAGTTGCTTCTGATTGTTATGCATCCATCTGCTTCAATTTGTTTTTCTTTGAACAATTACATTGTGTCTTCTTTTAATTTTAAATGAATAATGTGATATCTATCCCATTAAAGAGCTTTGATTTACAAAACGAAGTAGAATATTTGAAGAAGCGAAAAAGGAGTAACAAGTTCAATTCACTTGCTTGTTATGGACATGTCAAAGTTTTATAGGATCATACAGTAACTTTTTAAATGTATTGCAGTGGGTGATTTGAAAATTTTGATCACTTGAAATGCTTGTGTAAGTTCGACAGAATTTGGATGATATGATACTATACTAGTGCCATCATGGAATACTCAGCAGATACATCGGGGCAAATAATTATAAGAATTCTTTACTCTAATTTGCTTCAAATAAATAACTTAGTTTGAACAATTTCTTTCTTCTTTAATATTGATCATTTGTTTACTGTTAACCTTCAAATCTCAAGCATTCAACATTCCAACTAATTGCATTTGTAACATAGAAATATTACTAGGTTATCTCTGTGATGAATGCCTAGCAAAATGTTGATGAGGTGTTAAGTAACTGATTGATTGGATGTTAAAAGAATTTTAATTTGCAATAATGTCTTCAATATGCTCTTTTGTCGTGAACATGTACTATTGTCTCTGTGCTTTGATTGTGAACTCGTTAGTGGAATGGTGTGGTCTAGCAAGTTTTATGAGTAATATTAGTCAAAGCTTCAGTTGACATTTGGCATTTCTCAGCATCAAATGTCTTGCATTTGTTTTCTTTCCCGATTATCTGCTTTCATCTAGAATTATTTTCTGGTAGAAAAAACACAGCTGATTCTAGCTTTCCAAAATCTTTTGAGGCTAAATTTTTGTTGTCTGTTTGACAAGTAATTAGAAAATGTGAGATGCCAACCATCTTGACAACCTTTGGTTTTCTAGTTTTTATGCATATTTGGAAACTTTATTGTCTTTCACAGTTGGCATCAAAACTGGTTAATTGCATGATTTGCATATCCAGTTGCATCAATAGTTTGAAGTCATATCCTCTTTCATCTTTTTCCCTTATACAAAATACTTATTGCTAAGCTTCCTACATTAGCTATCATATTGTTTGGATTTTCTTGTTCAATTTTGATTCTATCAGGTTCCATTTGATTATTTCATTTTTATCTTATACAGCCTTTTTATCAAATTGTTATTGCCTTTTGTAACTTCCATCCATTAATTGTGGATTTGAATGGATAAGTTTTCTTGGCAG